GAAGGCTCAATGTTTTCACCTGGCACAGAATCTGCCTTGCTACTGGACTCTCGCAGGTCTACTGATGAGTCTAATGGAAATGTCTATGTGTCCTTGTCGGCTATTTTGCAAGCTATGCGTATTGGATATGCCTCCACATGCACCAGAACCAGGAGTGCACTTTCACCATCACCGCCTTGCCGTCCAATTCCCAGTTTGGACTGTAGCTACTCGTCGTCCTCGGACCCTAATAAAAGCCTAAAAGTTCTATTCCAAAATATATCGGGAATGAGAACCAAGACCCGGATGGTATTCCTCAATTCTTCTGCCTGCGATTTTGATGTAATCATCCTTGTGGAAACGTGGCTCAATGACAAATTCAGCTCCTCTGAGTTCTTCGAGCCTAATTTGTACCATGTATTTCGTAAGGACCGAGATGCATTCAGTACCCAGTGTGGGCGAGGTGGAGGTGTGATCATCGCTATCCGTCGATCTCTTCAGGCTACACCACTGCGCCTTCCGGTGGCCGACCCTTTACTGGATCAGCTTGCGGTTTCAATCCAGGGCGTCCATGGCCCGTTCGTCATCATTGCATCATACATCCCTCCGAACAGCGCATTTAGTATCTATCATGCGCATATGGAAAACATCAGTAGTGTCTGTGCTAGAAGGTCGGACTCTACCGATTTCATGGTAGCTGGCGATTTTAACCTAAGCTCTATTGTCTGGTCTTGGGACCCGGAATCTACCTGCATGCTACCTAGCAACGTTCACCAGAGTCATGAAATTTTAGTTTTAGATGATATTTTTAGTCTGGGCCTCTCCCAAGTAAATAATATTGTTAATGATTTATCCAAAATTCTTTATCTTATATTTTTAAATAATTTGATTAATAGTAAAGTAGAATTATGCAATGTACCATTAAGTCCTTGTGATATGCACCACTAGCCGTTGGTAATTAATATTGAGTTTTATAGTTTTTTGCCTTCTGCTTCACCCATTTCATATTATCATCTGAATGATACTAACTTGTCACTTATAAATGCATCTATTTCAGCCTTTGATTGGGTTTCCCTTTTTTCGGATGGCTCAATCGATGATTGTTATACTAAGTTTTTGGTTGCCCTTTTTAATATTATTGATACTTATGCCCCTGTGGGGGTACGAAGATCCTATAGGCTTCCTTGGTATACAAAAGGTTTCAAAAACTTAAAGAATAGAAGGGATAAGCACTGCAAACGATTTATAATGACAGGTGAGACTCGAGCAGGAGAGCTGTACCGGCAATTTAAACGGGAATTTGATTTCCTTAATAAGTTCCTCTACAATCAGTATATATCCGATGTCGAAGCTAGCCTTCGATCCAATCCTAAAGCTTTTTGGCGGTTTGTTAACAGCAAAAAGTCAAAATCGGACATACCTTCATCCATATGTTAATTGGTAATTTAGCAGCCGACTCGGATCAGGGCGTTTCTGATCTTTTTGCAAAATACTTTGCCTCTAACTTGGAGCCGAAGGTTCCTTGGAGTGATCATGAAACTCTTCTTAGCATTGAGCCTTTTCTTAATGTGAGTAACATGGACATTTTGGACGGTGACCTAGTTGAAGCCACTGGCCTCACACCTGACGTGGACGGTATCTCCCCATTCTTTCTTAAGAGGAGTATCGCTTCTCTTTCTACTCCCCTTCAGCTGCTGTTCTCCTTTTCGCTCTCATCTGGTAGATTCCCCCACCGGTGGAAGATGACTTCTATAACGCCTATTCACAAAGGTGGCAGTAGGTGTGATGTTACCAATTATCGACCTATAGCCAAAATTTGCAACGTCGCTAAGATACTGGAGCGGATAGTAACTAAAAAATTGACTTTTCTGGCTCGCAATTTCATATCCCCCAACCAGCATGGTTTTCTGCCTGGGAGGTCCACTACCACTAATTTAGCTGTCTTTTCTAAGCACTGCTTTGAAGCTTTTGAAAACCGATTTCAGGTTGATGCCATTTACACCGACTTCTCCAAAGCCTTCGACAAAGTGTGTCATGCTGCCCTTCTGGCCAAATTATATAAATTAGGTATTCATTCCTGCCTATTAAGTTGGTTCGAGTCTTATCTGGCTGACCGACCTTGCCACGTTACTATTGGAGACGCTATCTCTAGTCCATTTGTCACCTCCTCTGGTCTTCCACAAGGCAGCTCTCTTGGACCTCTTCTATTTATCATTTTCATTAATGACATCTCGTCATGCTTTCGTCATTCGTATTTTTTAATGTATGCGGATGACCTTAAAATCTATAAAGCGATTAGCTGCATTAGTGACAGTTACTTGTTACAGGAGGATATATCCAGAGTATACTCATGGTGCTCCCGCAATCTTCTTCCATTAAACTTATCTAAGTGTATGTTTACCCGTTACAGTAGGCGGTCTCTTGAAATCTGTACGGGTTATTCCATCAGTAATTATAATTTGGCAGCACCTCAAAGAAGAGGTGTTAGACCTTGGTGTCTTATTCGACAGCAAATTTAAATTTTCTGGTCACTTAGACTACATTTTACCTAAAGCGTATGCTATGCTGGGCTTTGTTAAGAGGCACGTGAACCAGTTTAAAAGTCCATACTCGAGCCTCAGCGTCTATGCTGCATTCATTCGGTCGAGGCTGGAATATGCCTCAATCATTTGGAACCCGGAGAGTAAAGTTCGCTCCAATAGAATTGAGCGACTCCAGAAAAATTTTTTAAAATTTGCACTTCTGCCTCTAAGGTTTCAGGATCCTGTTCCTTCATACCAGAGCCGTTGCCTTCTTCTGAACGTTTGCATGTTGGAGGATCGGCGTAAACTGGCAGCGTTAACTTTTTTGAATAATTTAATCGTTGATTACATTGATTGTCCTTTTTTGTTGGGACTCATTAACTTTAATGTTCCTCAAAGGGATCTTCGTACCTTTGCCCCCCTTCAGATCAAGTGTCATAGGGCCAATTATCTTTTAAATGAGCCGATTGAGCGGGCTCTTTCTTATTTTAACTCTTTGCCGCCTAGCCTCCGAATTGAGTGGGGCTCTGATAAGGGTGTGTTAAAACGCAAGGTAATAAGGCATTTATTAAGTTTTTGTTAATTTTTTAGTTTTATTTATTAGGTGTAAGTTGTTATTATGTAGCCATGTAAGGATTTGTCCGTTGGCGAAATAAATAAATAAATAAATAAATAAATATGTTAAATTATGATTCGTCGCTAAATATTACATTTTCCAAAAAAGAATCTGCTTAATCTTTGTAGCGTTTGGCAAAGTCTTAACGTTTTTTCTTATTTATGTCCGAAATTTATGGCTTGCGACGTGCCACTCTACCATGATAGCCAGCATTATGCAGGCAATTGCGCACCGTTTGAGAGCAAACTTTTTTTTGTACAACTTCTTGCAAGCTTTGACATAGCATTGTACTTGTAGTTTTTGGGTTTTGGACCACTTCAGCTACTACTTTGCGTTCCTCACGTGGCGTTTATATTTTTGTCCTTCCAGCGTTTTGGTGCTTTGAGGCCAATTGATAATTTATAAAATCTCACAATAACCCAAAATAATAACAAGTGCCTGAAAAATTGTAAACAAAAAAGGTAAACAAGTCCATCTGCTGTTTTCGTATGCTGAAATAATAAAAAATATAATATAAAAAATAATATAATTTCTTTCGTCATTTCATCAAATAACGAATACCCGAATTTGGTTAGGGTAGCAAGCCTGAAAAGTAAGAAAAATCAAAATTTTGTGCGCTGGCTTCGAAACGAAATCGCACGCACACATACACCCGTGTATGTGAATGTGTGACACGCATACATACCAAGATCAACCGAAGCGCAGGCCAGTGTTGCCGTCAGCTCGTTACAGAAAAAGGCTAGATTGATTATAAAAAAAAGATAGAAAAGGACAAAAATTAAAAAAAAAAGGACAAAAAACAAGACAAAATATTTTTTCCATAAATTTTATGTAATGTCACTCTTTATTGGTGGCCAAATCGTTAAGAACATCGTCAATGTCATCATTAAAAGCTTCTAAGCTTTAATTTTCTGTAGATTGGTTGCTTCCAATCATTTTTGAATGTTGCTTACGAATTTCAAATTCATGGGAACATACGCCTTTCCGGCGTAGCTCAAACCTAAAAAAGAAAAAAGCAATTTAAATAAATTTGTGAAACAAAAGAGTATTAAAATATTTATCTGATCGATAAAATCGCATGTAAAGTTTCGCATTTAAGATTACAACAGGGTTGCATTAATTATCAAGTGCTGCTATCGATATAAAAGTAATGTACATTTGGATTACTTTTCAGCACTTTACACAAAAATAAAAAGCAGATAAAAAGGCCAGGCCAAAATAAAAAAAGGACAAATAAAAGGCTAGGGGATGTTTTAAATTTTTTCCGGCTGACGCAGTTAAAAACCGGACAGATCTGTCCGGAAAAAGGATAAAACGGCAACACTGGCGCAGGCCAACCTTCTTCATCGCGCTCCGTTTAGAGACTGAGAAACAGAAAACATTTAATGAGAGAGAATGAGCGTAAGATGAACGAACGATGAGCGTAAGAGAGCGTAAGAAATCCGCTCTGGGGCCTGTCGCAAGAAATTTTCGCGTCCATTTTAGGGTTGCATGATATTTAAAAAATATCGTATCAATGATATTGACATTTTTGAAAAATATCAAAATAAATTTTTTAAATATCAAGAAAAAATATCGATATATCGAGTATTTTTGATATTGAAAAAAATTATTTTTTTTATTTTTAGGAGCAATCTTTTAAAAATGTCTTTCTTTCTTTTATCCAATTTTTCGTATTCCCTTTCTATTAATCCAAATGACGCACTTAAATCATCCAAACTAAACTAACAACACAAATACTTTATATTAATGCAAGCTTTTATTACTTAAAACAATGGAAGATACTTAAATTTAATGTTGTTCTTATTTTAATTTATTTTTAGCTGTAATTTTACGTTATATATTTTAATCTAGTTTTAATAGTTAACTTAAAATCAAATTTGTTATTTCCAATAATGCTTGGCCAATGACTTTAAAAATACACGCTGAGTTACGTGTCGATCAGTCATGCGGCTGCGTGAGTAACACACTACACATTTAATGGCCGAAGCCATCCTTTCTGAGGATGCCGAGCTACCTGGTATTATCAGGTAGCGTAGTGCCAACTTCGATAAGTGTGGCATTGTCTGCTGTTGGGAAGTCCAAAACTGTAGTGGGTCAGCTTCCCAATTAGTATTTGGCAATGATATATACAAGTGGAACTCCTTTTCGTAGGGGCTGTCCGAAATTTGGTTTTGCTGAATGGTTCGATTGTGAGCCTCAAAAAAACTTTCTTGGCGGTTGACTTGAGTTGTGTCCAATTCTTCCAGCGGTTTCACATTTAACGAGCGCTGTAAGTATTTAAAAAAAATGTATTAGTATATATAAAGATCTTAGCTAATAATAGTAAATTACGTACTCTCTTTCCTTCGCTATTAAGTTGCATTTCCTCTAGAATGTCCTTTGAGGCTTCCAACACCATTGTGGGAGGAATATACATTTTTTTGAAGCGCGGATCCAATAAGCAAGCTTTTATTAAAATCTTGTTTTTGCTCAAACCAATTAAATATTCGTCTGATCTTTTTAATAGAACATCTTTCATTAAAATACCGTCTGCCGACTGCACTAGTATTTTTCGTAATTTTGCTAGCGACATAGTTATCATCGGAACAACTAAACTGACCGTGACGTAAGATTCACCGCTAACTCTTTCAGTCGCTTCTTTGAAAGGTTTTAAAAGCTCGCAAAAATCACCAGAGTCAAGCTCTGGTTTTGATAGCATTTCTGGCAGGATTTTGGTGGATTTTGATCGGTTAATAAGTGCCATGGCAACCGTATTTTCCAAATCTGTAAATGAAATTAGCATATCTAGACAAGAATTCCATCTTGTGTCTATGTTTTGCGTTAAAGTTCGAATGCATCCTTCTGGAACGCCTTCATCAGATTGGAGCTTCCTTAAAACATCCATGGCTGCTGGGCTGTGTTTAAAATAGGTGACAATACGCTTTACTTTATCTAAAACCGTCGAAAAGCTCTTAATGTCCTTAACCGTATTGTCTACTACTAAATTAATAGTGTGGGCAAAACAAGGAACATGGTGTCCAACACCGAGAAATAAATTTGAAGCTGCCTTCATGTTCTTGGCATTGTCAGTGGTCAAACTTTCTAACTTGAACTCCTCGATGCCGAACTCCCTACAAGTATTCTGCAGAAGCGTGCAGATATACTCGCCAGTATGCGACTGGATTAAATAAGGAAAACTCATGTTAAAATAAGTATAAACAGTGATAGTCGAACATGCCGACTATATGGATACCCGGTATTTATTGAGAACCAATATCTTCTATATACATAAAAGAAAGTCGTGTTGATTGTGTAAAACATGGTGTATAAAACGAAGACTACAAATCAGACAGACGTACGAATTTTTATGGTAATACTAAATACCGGATATAAGAAATACAAATAAACTGGATCTGTAAAAGACATATATTAAATAAATGTTATTGGACGTAAAACGAAGCATTTAAGGTAAAGCACACGTATAAAACGCACACAGATAGAAAGTAAACAATAGAATTATACTATGTGCTATTAAAAGACAGAACTTTATTTAATGACCTACCTCATTCATTCTGACAGCTTGCAAACAGATCGATTGAAGAATGTTGTCTTTCAAAAAATGAGCAGTTACTGTTAAAAAAGCTCTGGTCGAATTGGTTAAAGTAACCCCATCGCACGTGAGGGCAAAGTTCTCAATTTCTTTAAAAGTTCTTTTCATCTGATCGGCGCATACGGTGTATTTTTCTTCAATTAAACTTGTTACCTAGGGAAAAAACAGTTTTTTTAACCGATTCTTAAAAATTTATACGGCGAACACTTGCCTTGGTACGACTTGGGAGCTCATATTTAGGTACACATGTTTTTAAGAAATTTGAGAGACCCTCCTTGTCGACGCAACGCACAGGCAAATTATCTTTGCATATCATATATATCAATGATTCTGTTACTTGCTTTGTTTTGTCTGAAAATGTAGCAACAATTAACTAACCATTGTAATGACGAATAAAAAATACCATACCCTTGTAATTTTCAGCATTGATTAACGATTTAAAAATAGTTGGTTGCATCAAATCTTCATCTGTTTTTAAGGGGGTCTAATAATAAAATTGTAATATTAGATACATAAAAAACATAAACTTCTAAAAAATACGCAAAATTCGTACATATTTTAACATTGGCGTTGGCGCCAAAACAAAGCATCATTGTTAGTGTGTGTGTGTATATTTTAAAGTGGAAAAATCCCCTTTGTATACACGCTTACATACCTTGCTTACGCATTTTGTGTAAGCACCCTGGTGCTTATTTTTCAGGTGCGACAATAAATTTGAAGTGTTTCCACTTGTTTTTATAACTCTCGAACATAAAGTGCACTTTCCGGTTTTTTCACTTAATTCGTAATAAGATTTCGCGGAGGTCATTTTACTTAACTTGCGGGTTTCCTATTGAACATAAAAAGTGTGACCAAAAAAAAAATATCCAAAAATATCCCAAAAAAAAGAATTATATATCGATATTACGGCTTTAAAATATCGTGATAAAAATATTTGTTTTTTTCGCAAATATATCGATATTTTGATATTTAGATATATTTTCGACAACCCTAGTCCATTTTCGTTGTATGAAATGGGTTGTCTATATGCTGTATGGTTAGTGGTACAACGTATTTTGGATCCACCACATGAATAAGCTTACGAAATCCAAGACCCTCCACAAAGCTAAATGGTAACACGTCTTCTGCCACCATTTCTGAAATAAGAGCATCCCATCTGTTTCTTGGATGATGTGGGGGCGTACGCATCCGACCGCTTCACTAATTTTGCCATTGTAGGTACATACGTCTTTTTCAGTATTGTATATGGGTGTATGGGGGATAATACGACGTAAATGATCGCTTAAATTTGATGTGTTGCCTGATGTCTTGTACTCCTTTCCGCATAAACGACATTTGGCAAACATTTTATTTTTACACTTTTCAAAGTGTTTCCAAACATCAGAATTTCCTTTGCGCTTCCGATAATCGGAATTGTAGATAATCCAAGTAGAATTGTTAGGACTTTGAGGTCCGAGACAATCTGCCAGCGAAATTTATTGTAATTTATCAATCGTAGAATTTTTTCCATCGTTGAATATGTTTCTTTCATATCAGTAGCGTACGCTACTGGAACTGATGGCAATTAATTTTTGTTGTGCAGCAGTACTGCTTTAAGACCTATTTTAGTAAATTAAAATTTAAAAGGGAAATCGTACTCAAACTAAGTTCCCTCACACTCATAACACATAAAATACTTACTTTTGCAGGACCCGTCAAGAAATAATCGCCAATCTTCTGGAAAATGCTCGTGATCGAGTGCAACAAACAATTCGTCAACATCAACGCAATATATAAGTTTGTTATCAGTGTAATCAGCTTTCAAAATTCGTTCCAACGAGGATAGGTCTCTACGTCGCGAAAACGTTACTTTGAAGACATTGTCTACTATATTCTATTGCTTCAATCTGGAGCCCAGAATCTCAGTTTGTCTTAAAGAAAGATTCATATCCCGCACAAGATCACAAAAATCCCGATTCGAAACGAAATGACATTCTGTGGCTTGGGTTGGAATGTACTGTTCCTCATTTACCTCATTGGAAAATTGATGGCTTGGTTCCGGAAATTTTGCTGGATTTGCGTCATCAGTTGGCTGATCTTGTTTTTTTCTTTGAATTGGTTTTGATACAGTCAATAAATTGGCATATTTTATAAGGTGACGAGACTTATAGCGGTGGCCAGTAATTTTTGTTTGGCAGAAGTAGCAATCCTCCAGCTTGTGATATGTTTGATAATGCCAAGCCATAGGACGCATCCCTGGTCATCCCATTTACCGGATATCCATTTTTTCAATGGTGTACAGCACGTCGAACACATATATTTGGGTTCATACCAAGCACTTTCCACGTATGAGTAATTGAAAAAGAGGTTGAACGCCTTAATTATAGCTTTATTTGTTCTTAACTTAAACCGATGTAGCTTATCAACAAATAAACCGCAAGCGTAACAAAAGTTGTTGCGCTTATCACACGTTATGCCTTGTTATGAGACACAAATTTTAGAAACTACTAAAAAACGGTTGGTGAAAAAAACGGTTAGCTGGTCACTTAAACGTGAAACTGATGACTCTTCTTATAAACGCAAAAGATCAAGCAAACATTTTTATCATTTTTAAACATTGATATTTATTTCAGAATATGTAATTTAAATAACATGTAAAAAAGGACATATGAAAAGCTATGAAATTAATAAAAACAAGAAAGGAAAGCTAACTTCGGGCGGAGCCGAAGTTTATATACCCTTGCAGTTAAAACCAGATATATATCTCAAACATCGGATATAGTTATAGTATATACCAAATACCATTTCCGACCGTTCAGTTATATGGCAGCTATAGGATATAGTTGGCCGATCCTAATGAAATTTCCTAGGTCGGATTAACTGGCCAAAAATAGAATCTGTATTAAGTTTTAGCTTTCTATCTTCAAAAACACGAAAGTTGGATCATTTCCGATCGTTCAGTTATATGGCAGCTATAGGATATAGTCGGCCGATCCTTGTGAAATTTGGCATGTCGTAATGGTTTGCCAAAAACAGTTTTCGTGTCAAATTTGAAGTCTCTAACTCTAAAAACACCAAAGTTATACCATTTCCGATCAATCAGTTATATGGCAGCTATAGGATATAGTCGGCCGATCCCGGCCGTTCCGACTTATATACTGCGTGCAAAGGAAAGAAGGGTGTGTGCAAAGTTTCAAGACGATAGCTTCAAAACTGAGAGACTAGTTCGCGTAGAAACGGACAGACAGACGGACAGACGGACATGCTCATATCAACTCAGGAGGTGATCCTGATCAAGAATATATATACTTTATAGGGTCGGAGATGTCTCCTTCACTGCGTTGCACACTTTTGGACAAAATTATAATACCCTCTGCAAGGGTATAACAAGAAAGGAAAGCTAACTTCGGGTGGAGCCGAAGTTTATATACCCTTGCAGTTAAAACCGGTTATATATCGGATATAGTTGGCCGATCCTTAATGGGAATAGGAATATATAACTCAATTTATTACAATACAAAAATTAAAAAAAGTCCCAAACTTCTATCTTCAAAAATACGAAAGTTTATATTTCTACCAAATACCATTTCCGATCGTTCAGTTATATGGCAGCTATAGGATATAGTCGGCCGATCCTTATGAAATTTGGCATGACGTAATGTTTGGCCAAAAATAGCTCTCATGTCAAATTTGAACTCTCTTACTCTAAAAACACCAAAGTTGTACCATTTCCGATCAATCAGTTATATGGCAGCTATAGGATATAGTCGGCCGATCCGGGCCGTTCCGACTTATATACTGCGTGCAAAGGAAAGAAGGGTGTGTGCAAAGTTTCAAGACGATAGCTTCAAAACTGAGTTCGCGTAGAAACGGACAGACAGACGGACAGACAGACGGACAGACGGACAGACGGACATGCTCATATCAACTCAGGAGGTGATCCTGATCAAGAATATACAGTGGTGGAAAAAATAATAGAAACAAGATTTTTGCGTCCGTTTTTTACATTTTTTTCTTAAGAACAGTAACAGATATTTGTTCAATTATTTTTTTGTTAACAAACATTATAGTATGTATTATAAAAACAAAACAAAAATTCTTTTCAAATTGGCAAAGGACGAAAAAAAATAAATTCAATTTGCTCTCCTTGGAAAAAAAAATAGAAACAAAATTTATAAATTCATCAACTAAAGGTATTTTCCTAAATTTAGTAATCGAAACATAGTTTTAGTTAATATTTAGTGGCACAGCCTTTAGATTTTATAACAGCAATGCACCGACGATGCATAGAATTCACCAGATTGGCGCAAATCGAAGGATCAATGGCATACCACTCGGATTGCACTTTCTGCCACAATTCTTCCTTATTTTTGGGCTTAAAGCCTGCAATTCTTTTTTTTAGTACACCCCATAAGTGCTCAATCGGGTTCAAGTCCGGTGATTGCGGTGGCCACTCCATTACATTTATTTTTGTGTCCTGGAACCATTTCTTAACTATTTTTGATGAGTGTTTGGGGTCGTTGTCCTGCATGAACTCCCACTTTAACGGCATTTCTTCCTCGGCAAATGGCAGCATAACATTCTTGAGTATTTCAAGGTATTGTGGAGCACACATTTTGTCGTTAATGCGGAATATCGGACCAACTCCAGAGGAGGAGAAGCATCCCCATAGCATGATATTACCTCCGCCATGCTTAATTGTTTTTTTTGTGTGGTTCGGTTTGAATTCTGTGTTTTTCGGGCGTCTTACATATGATCTACCATCAGATCCAAACATATTTATTTTGGTTTCATCCGACCACAGGACATTTTTCCAATTTTGGCGGTCCTTTTGACGATAAGCAAAAGATCGCCTTTTTTGAATGTTCTTTTTGCTCAAGTTTGGTACTTTTCTGGGTGAATGTGCCTTCAAGTCCTTCTCAATCAGTCTGTTTCTAATGGTCCGACTAGTAACTGATGCCTGCAAGTCCTTTTTGAGCTCC